ACACACACATACACAGACACATACACACACACATACACAGACATACACATACAGAGACACACATGTACACACAGATATACGCACACGGACATATATACATACAAATATTCGGAAGGAATAATCCAAGCAAGCAACCAGATTAAAAATTATATTAAATTCATTTTATCATATAAAGCCAATTAATAAGTACCAGAAAAAAACATAAATTCATATAAAAAGAAAAAATCATAAATTCATATAAAAATTTGTTGTCTATTAAATATTCAAAAAAAGGAAGAAAAAAAGAATATATCATCGATAAAAGAAAAAAAGGTTTTCACGCATTCATTGATAATTAAATTTATTCTGTTAAAAGTCCACCATTTTGATTGCTTCCAAATAATTCGTAAAATTCAAATTTTTATTTGGATTTCTGCCGACAAAAACATGATAACTTTAATTTTTAATAAATAAAAATCACATGAAGCAAAGAAAGTACGTGTGAATAATACATTAGTAAAAATGAGCAAAAAAAAAACAGTTAGAGCAGAAATGAAATATGAAAAAACGAACGAAAATAAAGTAAAATAAAAAAGTTATTTTCTTCTGATGAAATGAAATTCACGACTTGTAGGGACACTGTAAACACGCTAAAAATCATTGATTTTTTGAAAAAAGGTAAATAAAACTATAATACCTTTTTATATCTTTCTTTTTTTTTAAAATTAATAGATTAAATATGAAAAAAAAAGAAATTTCACCGATCATAAGCAATAGATATGTGTAATTTTCTTCCTTCATTTTTAAAGTTAAAAAAATTGAATTAATGAAACTATTTTGAAAATAAAAGAAAAATACTGATTTGAATGAAAAAAAAAATTTTTTGAATTAAAAAAATCAACAATACAGCAATAATAGTTTTTCAAATCATTATAATCATGAATAAATGGATGGATCATTTCTACTACGATTATTAACAGATGATAGAAAAGGAATCATCAATTTGCGCACATATCGATGATGAAAACTGATGACTCCAAAACTTAAGCATTCAAAAAACAAAAATTCAAATTTTATATGTTATAATGTTATGTTGGACAAAAACACTCCTTTGAAGTATATTTGAAACAAAAAAAAGATAAATGAAAAAGATGAAAATGAATTGTTCGTTAAAGCGTAGTGGCAATCCTAACATTGGGGTATCGTCATACCAATAAAGATGATAGATCAAAATTCTAGATTATCGGAATTGAAAAAAAAATGCAATTTTACAGATGGACAATTGAATGGATGAAATCTTATCAAATTCTCTACAATGAACAGTTAATAAAAGATGACAGTGAAGAGACAAACGAAAGTTTAGGATTGTCCAGAAAAATTAAAGAAATCATTACAACCCATGAAGCTCATCATCTTGCAAGCACGTAAACTCCGCAATCACAATTTTGAAATCTCTAAAAACTGTTCAGTAATATTAAATTTATCATAACTTTATCATATCTTCGTAAGGTACAATTACTGGAAAGTAATTCAAATAAATTCACATTCGCCAAACTAAATGAGAAGGAAGGTTTATCAAAATTTTAAATTGAATGCAAAAATTTGCATTAACAAACATTTTAAGTAAAAAAATTTCAAATCAAAATAAGGTGAAGAACGGTCAACGGTCATCATAAATTCAAAGAGGTGAATTACCAAGGCACACTAATTAAAATCCTCAGGTGTGCTCATTTAAAGCTATATGATTGAATTATTTCTATTGTTGTTGTTGTTAAAATTTGGGAAAAATAGAACAGAACTATTTTAGGGATCAACTATCATCAGTTTCAGCTTAAAATCTTAAAAAAAAAATTAAGAGGAGATAATTGCACGATGCAACAAAAAATATAAATTGCAACCGGGATTTAAGGCAAATAAACTTGCGGACAATACACACACATAAACATACACGTACACATAAACATACACACACACATACGCACACATACGCACACATACACACACACAATACACACACACACACACACACACACACACACACACANNNACACACACACACACACACACACACACACACACATAAACACTTGAAGTTGATACGTGTATTAAAAAAATTACAATATTGTGATGAGGAAATGGAGGAGCAAATGATCGGACATGAAGTCCATCTTCTTTGATATATATAATTATTTAACACACATTTATAATAAAAGAGAAAAAGCGATTACTGAGTTTTTAAAATTGAAAGAATCAGATAAATCTCAGCTTCCAAATTTCGTTGTTCATATCACATCGGTATGACATTTACATACTACACGGATGACATCGCTTCCAACTGTTTCGATTGTCGTGAACCAGAACGTGAAGCAATGCCTAAAAATATTTCAAAATAAATCAAAAAGAAAAAAAAAATTTTGTAACAAAATGCTAAAAGCATAGTAATCATTAAATATCATATATAAAAGACGGAAACTGTTAATCTTCAATCCAGAAATATCAAATAGATCGATAAATGAATGACAATAAATGATGATATATAACTAAATTATATGTAGGACGTATATTATATTAAAATGAAAGTATTCCTATCAATTTCCAAAAAATAAAGACTATCAAATAAAACTAAATGATTATAATAAACCTTTTCCTTCCTGTTCCACTTGTAATTTCAATTGTCGGCTAATTTCACGCAAACGCGCAGCGCTTGGACCACTGAGCGATGGTTCTCGACGATCCAGACCTGCTTGGAATGCTTTAACCACACGAATCTGAAAATTCAAAAAAAAGTTTTTTTTTCTCAATCATAATAATTAATGGAATGAACCAACAAACAAGACATCACTAGCAACAGCAGCTGTAGTAGTAGTAGTAGTAGTAGTAGTAGTAGTAGTGGTAGTAATAGTAATAGTAGTAATAATAGTAGTAGTAGTATCAACGAAAATAAAAAAAAATGAAACAATAGCAACAATGACAACAACCAGATTTCACTATACACCATTTCTAAACACTGCAACAAAAAAAAAAAAATATTCCAGAATTATTGCCATCAAAAAATGGCCATTATGAGATAAAAAGGAAAGTAAAAACTGTAACCAATAAATTTTGTTTGAAAAAAAGAAGAGTAAAGTTAAGAGAATAAAGCGACTGATCAGAAAAACTGTGAAGCGAGAATTTATGCATACCTGAAGAATAATAAGAATGTCAACCAAAAAACAAAAAGAAAAAAGAAGGAAAGAATAAAAAATAGTTGAAAAATAAAATGGTCCAACAGATAACTAACAAAACTTTTTCGACAATATCTGAAAAGAAAACCGGAGTATTAAAGAAGTAAACCGACAAGATACGACAAAGATTTAAAAAGTCGAAATTTACAAAAATGTATAAATTAATTTTTTGCATTAAAATAGCTTGCATTCTAGAATTTGACCATTTTTATAAATGCGAGATCCAACAGGAACAAAAATTAGAATCAGCAGAAAGGACTAACTATATTTAAATATATTTGAATTTGAACAAAAATGTATCGTTTCGTCGAATACAAAATAAAACTTTTGCTTAAAATTTTGATTAAAATGGTTAAAAATAAATCGTCGGAAAAAAACAAAACTCAATATTGTAATGCTTATATTTTTATAAAATAAGAATACTATCGGATTCAAACTCGCACTATTTTCTAGCAATCATGAGAGCAATATAATATATGCTAAAGCCTAATATAAACCAAAATTCATTTCATAGCACTTTTAAATTAAAATGTATAAAATTCTAAATAAATACGTGTGCATGTGTATCTTTATTCTCACAATTATGCATGCAAAAAATTAATTAAATAAATTATAATAATTTTACTTTATTTTTTTTTAAAGTCAAAGAAAAGAACGATAGCGCTGTGCTGTTCGTCAGAATCAAGCAAAAAACAAAAATTTCTCGAAAAAAGAGGGAAAAACTCAAGAAGCAGTTACAAAGGAAAAAAAAAAGTAAGAAGGCTGATAATGTTAATTAAAGTGTCAAGAAAATTAATAACAATGAAAGGAAACAACAACGAATTTGTTGCTCATTAAAATGAATATATCCACAATAATAATAAATAATAGCGAAAATTATAATTAGTAATAATAATAATAATAATGATAATAATAAATAATAGTAATAATTGTCATAATAAATGATGGCACCACACAATGCAAGCAGCAACCAGCCACGGCACGGTGCAATATATATACCACAAACCGTGCATCTTAATAACAAACATAAAAATTGAATAGTTTGAAAATTTTTTCAAAAATTCGAAGTCAAATTTTGGATTTTTTTTTTGTTTTAAAGCAACAGCATTGATTATTCGTTTTATGGAAGAGAGGATTAGGGCAAATAACAACATGAAATTTTGAAATTTAAATTAAAACTTTTAAAGTTTAATGTAAGAAGTGTATTCGTATGTGTATATGTGCTGAGAGAGAGAGAGAAAGAGAGAAAGAGAGGGAGAAGGGGAGAAAAAGTCTATCCCATCCTACAGAGTTTGGGTCCATGAAAACGAAATACTGTGCTTTTGCGCTTACAGCCTGGTCGGTTGGCGCAGAACTGAGCGGTACCGGTATTAAACGATCGGCCATTTCCCCGCCAATAACCTGCAATCACTGAGCGATACCTAATGCTTGCTGGAATATCAATTGAAATTCACTGAAAATAGGTTGTATACAAGAAAAAAAAAAGGAATTCCATTTTTCAGAAACAGAAATTGAAATACATTACTTTAATGTTTTAAAATTTTTTCATCCTAATTAATATTTGCTCCATTTATTATTATGAATTTATGAAAATTGTCAAATAATACACACAGGATATCGCTGATATCTTGAATTTCAGAAATTGTTGGTTAATGTAACAATCAATGGTAACGCTGTATTAAGTACTGTTTACTTTTTAAATTAAAGGAATTTTTTTTCAAATATAAAATTTACAATTAAAATAAGCAATTTTTTTTGGTCATCATAATTAATGAATATTTGTAATTCTTCTGAAAAACTTCCAAAAGTTTTGCAGTAATTCTTTTAATTAAAATAAACTGCTAAAATCTATCAACTACTGCCTTTTTTTCAGAAATTGGGAAAGAAATTATACTATGGAATAATAGTAAGAAAAAGAAAAAGTGAAATTAATGTATTGTAGCTTATACATTGATTTAGTATCGAAGAATTTAATCATTTCTAATAAAGCGATATGTAATTAATTGATAGTTACACGACATCAAGGAATAATTGATTTTGATTAACAACAAATCCTCTTATGAATTCCGGATCAAGATTATCATCCTGAAGTCCGATCCTTAGACCAAAATCTTAATCCCTACCAAATTGGATTCCGTAATGTCTAATACTTAAGAAAGAAGCATGCATTTCAGTATGAATGTATTGTAATTTGTAACGGATTACACATTTATCTCCTTTTTTATGTGAAATATCTTTATAATCGTAATCATCTGAATCTGAACTGAATGCCCGGTATATATATTATATATATTACTTTCAGCATTCTTTTTTTTCCTATAATCAGCTTAATTAATTTGAACAGAATTAGACAGTATAAGAATTCCAGATTAATAAGCCATTTTTATTGAGGCTCACATAAATCTTTTACAATAACACAGAATTTTGATTAGTATCGAATAATGAGATGATTCTACTAATGCAAATCTAAGTAACATGAAATTTCAAATTTACTATTTTAAAGCCTAATAAACCTTTGCTATTTTACAAAAAAAAAACCTTCATATGATCTGACTTCAAAATGATTCAACAATCAACTAGAAACTTGTTATTTTAGAAACAAAAAGTTATGGCACAAATCAAACTATGCAATCTACCTCTTCGCTATGAAGATAATTAGTTGTTCTGGAAAGAATCCTAAAAAAGACATTATGTGTTCATGTTAGTTAGAACAATTTCCAAGGCAGATGTTAATTGAAATTCTACGATTATTTTTTTAACGGAATTTACTTTAATTTTTATAAAAAAATGTGACAAACATATCGCAAAAAACAACTTTACAAAAAACAATCTAACTTGAGAATTAATTTAAATAATAACACGACTAATTCCATAAAAAAGAAAAACGAAAAAATTAGTTTCAAAGTTTGAGATGAAACTTCTGATCAATGGCAAAACGTATTCCATTTACTTTATGGATTTTTCACAAAAATCTCTTTCAAAAAAAAAAAACACTTTTCAAAAAAACAAAATCAGACTCAAGTTATATCCGAATACTAGCATCTCGAAATATCTACTTTGGCTTCCTAAAATATTGACCGATCAAGCAGGAGAAGTTCTTCTTGAAAACAATTCTTATTCGGGAACAATATGGAGAAAATAAGGAAGGAAACCTACGATATGTTGTAATTTAATAGGAATGATAAAAAACAAAAAAAAACTATCTATTAATGCAATAATGTGTGAATAAAAATCTAAAAATGGAAATTTTAAAAAAAAGTGCTAACAAAAAACAAAGAAAAAAAATCCTATGACTAATACGGGAAATGCAAGATCTGAGCAAATAACAAAAATATATTGCAGAGAAATATTCTACCACTCTTCATCGATAAAGAAATCTCAGAATGGAGTGAAAATTAAGAAAAATATGAATGGGAAATCAAAGGAATTATGCATTCCTTATTTATTATACTATCAGAGCATATGAAAATATGTAAAGACCTCCTCAATTCCCGTTCTTTATTCCCGAAATCTCACGCAAAAAAAGCCAGAAATACATCCAAAAAGTATCCTCAGTGAAAGGTTAGATATTAATTGTGTTGATATATATATATATATATAGTCATGCAGAAGAGAAATTTTCCCCTTTTCTCTTATAGTATAAATGATATAAATGAACTGATTTCAATGGCACTGAAAAGATAAATTTAAAAAGAAAAATTTTAATTATTTTTATAATCGTACGAGATTATAACACTAGATGGAACCACTTTGATATTAAACAATAAAATTTATCCAAAAAAGAAAAACCTAAGAAATGAAAAAATGCAACCGCATGCAGTAAACTTTCAAAAAAAAAGCACAGCAGAAAAAAAAAATACTTCGCATGTTATTGATTAGATTAAAGATGAATGGTGAAGGATGGTAAATTTTTTTTGTTAAAAATAAGTATTAAAAAAAAGAAGCTGTTGGTTTAACTCAGAGTTAGCAGGAGTCATTTCTAATTGTGAAAACTCTTGATTCTTCCGGAAAAATGTTCAATCAGAAAAAAACGAAAAAGATGGATTAGTTTAACGTCTCGTTTATCCTGCAACTGTTTTTAGTGTATCATTAATTTGTTTTCTTCAAATTCGCATCATACCATTAAGGTCATTTCGATATAAAGTATTATCTTTTTTCATAAATTAGCTGATCAATCAATTGTTCCATTCCTCAAGAGACCGAAGCACTTTCCATATGCTACATATTTTCATAATGTATACGAAAATATATTTACAAATAAATATGCATATTTAATGAACAGAGACAAAGACATTAAACAAAAAGTGAATAAAGCAGAAACTGGTGATAACATAAAAAAATAATCATTTCAGTGAAAGTTTATAGATGAAGTAAAATTTCTTTCAATGTTGGGCAATTTCAACTCATAGAGATAAAGGAGAAAGTTCGAAGGAAAAACGGTTAGTATTTAAACATGAGCAATTGAAACTGGAATATCCAGTGAGTTACTTTTACCAATCCCCGAACTACTGGACGGTCGCCATCGTTGTACCAACGGTACTTTCTCCAGCTGGGTGGTATTTAAAGATGCTGTAGGTGGTGGTGTTGCAATCATCTGTTGCTCACTAAGTATCACAACATTTGTAGCCAATTCATGGCCATTCTGCGTTGTCGTTGGATTTGTTGTAGCCGCTGTTGATGTTGTTAATGGGATGTTATGTTCAGCAGGATTACCAAATTTGTCTGGTATTGGTGGATTTGATGATGGTGTATAGGATTGTTGTGAATGATAAGATGGATACGGTTGTGGTGCATTTGTACGCTGCATTAATTTTACCAATGCAACACGTGTTTGGCTTGGTAATGGTCCAACACATGAGGCAGCACGTGGAACATTATTTCTGGATAATGATAAGTAGGACCATCCAGCACCAACTACACCGCGCATCGAGTTACAAGATTGCGTGCTGGCAATAGAACGCTTCTCCTCGAACTCGTCCAGCGATAATCGAAATGCTTTCACAACGCGAAGCTGCAGAAAAGAAAAGCATTTTGCAAAAAAAAAAGAAAAGAAAGAACAAATAAACGAAACAGAAAAAGAATTAGACGATTCTAATACTAATTAGGAAAGCAAAATTCATCTGAACAAATAACCCTATCAATTAAAATATATTTTAAAAAAAACCATTAGCAGTAAGTCATTATATCAATGACAACGTCGTTCAATTATCTTTATTTATTTACCACACCTAATCTTTATTAAATACTCATTTCTGAAACTAATCCAAATTTAGAAGAACTCCTGGAATGTATGGGAACCTGAGATACGTCAATTTTTTTTTTATTCATGCAGGAACCGAACAAACAATCACCGTATAAATTTTGGTCATAATTTCAAAATAAAAACATTTTAACAGAAAGAATGTTTTATTGATTTTTATCTAAATCAATAAAAAGTCTGTAATTTTAATAATTTGTGTATCAAAAGAAAAATACAATCATGTACTATGAAAAACAGCTAAATTGTTTATTCATCACTACTTCCATTATGACCAAAATGATGACCAGCAATGAAAATAAAACACTGGGAGATAGAACCCTGCCAATAATTTAAACATAAGGAAAAGAGTTGTCATTGATCAATGGCTTGTTGATTTCAAGCAATTCATTTCTCACTGATAAGTATAACTGAACAACAAAAAATTATTTGCAAATATTGTGTTACCATTAATTACCTAACAATAAATTTCCCACTGTCACTTTTGTCAACCCAACCGAAGATATAACGTAGTCACTAGTAGCATTTGAACAGTAATTCCTACCACCTCCCTAGAGGATAAAATAATCATGCAATATTAAGTATATATTACGGATACACAACAAACATTTCACCTGGGTGTCATCAAATTCATACCATTATCAAAATTTGAATAACGAACACTGCCCTCAATTCTTATAACCTTCTAAAAAGTTCATTCAAAAACAAAAGAAGCCACCCAAGTAGAAAATTGAGGAGCCAGGCACAACATGAATTAGAAAATTATAAGAGGGAAAGCAGAATGATTCAAAATCAACATGCAGTAGGAACGGCAATATTAATAGAGAAGTAAAAAATAACGCAGAAAAATTAAAAGGCAAAATGTATCCAGTGATGAATTTTCAAAACCAAAAAGAGAAAAAAACAAGCATGCTTTTAGAAAATGGACATACCACTGCCCTCTTACGAGAAACGATACATAAACATTTCTGTGCAATCCATGGAATCTCTTATCAATATCATCTAACATTCACAATTCAAAGAAAAAATAAAATTAAAAAAAAACCTCGCTTTTAAATTATAATCACAAGACAATTACAAAAACAGAGTGATAAAAGTGAGAATGATAAAAAATCGAAACAGAATATAA